CTACGTAAGCTTAAAAGAAACTTTTTGATGAGTATGTATGAAATTTTATAATAAGTAGGAGTGGAAAGTTATTTATAAAAAGATACATTGCACGCAACTATATAAAACTGAAGTATGTGCTTGATTGAATTAAACAATGTCAAACTGTTTGTATCATTAAATGAATTGCACAGAAAGTCATATAAATCAATACAACCAAAAACGGCGATAAAATTACAAGTTGTCTGGCTTCACAAATAAATACATTTTATTAAATTTAATTTTCGAAAATAGGATGTGATAAGTTACACACTTTTTTATGCAGGTCACAGAATTTTAAAATATATTTTCAAACATAAATGTGCTTTAAAGCAATGCTGGTAAAGAATAAACATTATCGAATAAATTTCATTGATAAATAACTACCCAATGATAAAATAATTAATTTAGGTAAATTTCATGCCATGCAACCAACACATTTAATATAAACGTGTAAGTCAGTATCAAGATTGTGTATACCAAACAAAATCATTCAAATGTTCACATGAATTCACGATTTTAACAAGGATATAAAAATTCATAGCGCATTGTATGTAAGTTTATTTTTGAAATTCTTTGCCAAGTTTTGATTCGTGTTGTTCTATTTAGTATAAGATCCGGTCTACTTAATATTGAACGATATTGACATTTAGAAAAACTTCTAACTCATCAGAAATACAAGCACACCACTTTTTAAGATGTACAGCACCAATACAAAATTTATTTCCTTTTATATCTATACTCTTAATTTTTTAATATCGTTGACAATTTTAAATAAGCAATCAACTTCATATTAATTCTATTTCAGACAATAATGTCATATCTAAAAAAAGGTATGAAATAGTATTTTAGTATTCGTCTGCCAATACATGCTTTGAACTGTTGTACTGTGTTATGCATCATAAATATTAAAGTCTTTCATGCTTAAAATTTTTATGTGGAATACTTTTAAAATAAACTATTTAAATATAATACAATTCGCTATTGCATAGTTTTTAAACTTTTAAATATTATAGGAAATGATTATTGGCATCAATAAATTTTTCAAAATTATATGAAAAATAAAAAACTTATAATTTGAGATTTTTTGATTATTGATGATGTTTTCAGAATTTACTTCCACACATGCCCATCATAGATATGCGCTTTTATAACCGTAATGACCATAAAAGATAACAGCTATTACTTGCATGAAATTATAACAAAACTCAACAAGCAATTACAAACATTACAGCGGAGAATCGAGGATTGTTCGGCAGTTGAAGAATCTATCATTTTGTTTGATATGGATGCTTTGCTGAAGTTAAATTTATATTTAAATTTTTTGTGGAACAAAATAAGAATTTTGATAAAAAAAATAAAGAAGAACACTTAAAAATTAAAAATCATAATGTAAATTTGGCAATAAATTCATTCAAAGGACACACATAATATATTATGCAACTTATTTCCTTAATCTTGGAGTACTCCATAGCTCTTAGTTCACTGAAATTCGTATTCTTTGTATAAGAACCCCTTTTTATTTACAGCATCTTCTTGAAAGTGTTGCAATGGAACATTTAATATTAAAAAAAATTTTAGAATTGAAAATAAAATTAAAAACAGTGGCACAATGAGCAACAAACAATCAAACAATATGTTTGAATTCATATCAGAGTAGTATGTGTTTGCTTTAAGAAGTACATGATTGATACAACGAACCTTGATATTTTACAAGTGTATGACGATTAATTCTTATATTTGTCAAAGCAAGTATCCTTAAATCCAACACAAGACTTTCAATCGGTAGCAATAAATATCTATTTTTGCAAAATGTTTTCGACTTGTTAAAATATGAATTATACAAACGTGATGGATAACATTTCAAATGATATAAAAAATAAATTATGATGACAGATCAGTATTTGTAAATAATGGTGCAAGCATTTAATTTAATGGCATCTTTTATAATTGTCAATGCCATGCATGTATAAAATTGACGAATTCAATCCATTTATTTATTATATCCTCTTTAATGTGATGCAATAATTTATTGGCACTGGATGCAACAAAAGATACACAATAGCTATTAAAAGCGTTATTATTAAATAAATGAAAAATAATTTAATTTAATTATTTGTGTTTAAACAAATGCGTATCCAGTAGAATATATTTGCTGTAAAATGATGGATTTGAGATTACTATGCTATTAGTAAGCCTTTGAGTGTGGATCTGGCCATTATTCTTTTTTACTTTTAATTTAAATAAAATCATTTCTTTAAAAATGACTATAAATAGAACAAAAATTTGAAATTAATATATCTGAACAAACTTATAGTTAAGAAGATTGAGGCTTCATTTAAACTTTTCAGTAATACATATTTAATCCTTCCAAACATGGATTTAATGGTAAAGAATGGATATAAACCGATCGTCATTTATACTTTTTAATGATATACTTAATTTAATATGTATTTTGGCGCAATATGCTTTAAGTTCTTGTTCTTTCACAGCTTTTTAATATCTAATGGGCCAATTATTTTAAGATTTGATCCACGAATAAAATTTTTCAAATCACAATTTGATATAATACTAATTGTCCATGGTTTAATATAGCATCTGTGATTTATAAAATCCTCTTCATTAATTAAAATACACACATTCTTTCTTGTAGGAAATTTTATAATACATTTCATACTTAAATAAAGCACCGTGTGATTTTTAAACATTTTTAGGCAAATAGAATATTTTATAAAAGTGAAAATGAAAGTATATTGCTGGAATGTTATAATAATGGGCATAAATAAATCAATCCACAACATCTTTACATTAAAACAAATGCAAACCTTGATTTAATTTAAGCTATTTATACTAGTTACATGTTGGTTTTTCTTATTATATTTTCAATTTTAGTTTTTTACATTAAATTACCGTGTTGTAGTTCAATTGATAATTTTATAAATCAAAAGACATGTTTTCGACAAAACAAGATGGTGCAATCACATGTCTTTTATCTTATCAAATTTTTATCCAGAAATACATTATTGTATTTCGTAATACGAAATATACACTTTCAAATATATTGATATTATCTTCTAAAACTAGGTCTCGCTAGCACCATTTGTATATTTGCACAATTAAGTTTTAATTTAGAAGATTATTTAAAAATAGAAAAATTGTCAAGCTAGCATATTAGAAAAATAAAATCAAAGTAAATTGAGACATTAAGCGCAAATTCAAACGATGAATGTAGAGCATACACGTAAGTAAGTGGGGCTGTAATTGACTTTGAACTCATTGGGATGATGAAGGGAATATGTATTTGGCTTAATTATTTTATCAAATAAAGTCATTGAAACTTTGCATTATATTTTTGAAGATCATTATAAAAGTTTAAAAATTGCAATTGATGCTCGTATTTCTTATTCAAATGTTGTAAGCTTGCTAATACATAGAATACTTGGTATTAATCATTAGTAAGAGTTTGAAAACCCTTGGAAATTTTATATGATTAATGCTGTAATTTCTAATGTATATTGGTATAAAGTAAAGCAAAGATATATGGCCCAGTCATACAAACTTCTTTTGAAGATTATCATAAAAATATATACACATGAAATATAACAAAATTGATGATATTTCCAATTTTTAGAAATAAGATGTGATATTTATTTTATCAACAAAATGTAATTCTATAACTTATTCATCCCCCATATGATTTTCAGATGTTCATATTTATTCAGAAGATAAAAAGTATATACTTGCCTGCTAGAGATGTGTTATTTTACTTATAATTATTTTTTGATATGAAGTTTGGTTGTATATGGCTATAAAAGAAATAATATATGAAAAATTCAGGTATTCGAAATCACTTAAAAACAGTTCGACCAGAGTGTTACTAGAAGAATGAGAGTTTTCAAAACCATGTATAGTTCCTGGGTTGAATATAGAAGGAAAACAGTTTTAACGTCTGATGAAAACTTAGAAAATCTCGCATACTCGAATGAAATGCAAATTTTTATGCAAAGCTGTGTTGTGGCACTTATACATCAAAAGAAATCAATTCCTACATTAATCGCTGAAATGTACTGTAAGATTTTATCATGCAAAATGCAAGTGTGGATTCAGTAAATGCAATATGCATAAGTTGCATCATTTAACAAATAGTAAGTGTGAACATTGAATGTAATTCATTTTACAATAAACTGTTTGTATTTTCAATAAAAACAAACCATTAGATTCCGCCGCAAGATTCTAAAGCATAAGTTATCACATTGATATTTCACGAAACAACAAGGATTTGCAGCTTTGAAAATTATACAGACGTGTAATTGTCTAAATACAAAATCTGTAAGAGAAAGCATGGCACTTACTTAATCATGGGCAGATAGAATGTGCGAACTGAGCTCGTAATGAGCTGTGCAATATAACATGGGATGAAAATGACTTAATGGGCTTGGCTTTAATTTAAATAATAATACAATGTATCAATTTTAGAATACATAATATTAAAATTGAAGTGCAATATGGTTCCTGTTTAGCCATCACAATCAATTCAAAATATAATGTGCTGTCGTCCTAAACATAGACATAAGAGCTTTACCGATACCGAATGGCAAATCGTGTAAAATGAATCATCAAATACAATAAAGGATTTACGATGTTTTCCATATTTAGAGGTACCATTCTTTTTCTCAACCTGATATTTTGTACCAATCTTCATGTTTCCTAAATGCATGCGATTCAAAGACTTATGAACTTGAATTTAAATATTTGGGCACTTAGAAAAATCTCTTTGAGAGTTTGAGTTGTTGCACAAAAGCGTTGTGTATTTGAGTACAAAATAAAATGTTGTTTTAATGTGTGTTTCTTGTTTTTGAATGTCAAGCATCTAGAAATCTGAAAATATTATAACATCAACTTAAAAGCCAGACTTTTATATTGCATGTTGCAGCACACAAGCACATTTCTTCACATTATTTTAAACAATGCACATTTAAGAAATGCTCAATGATACCTTTATGTTGTATATATTTATACCTCTTGATGTAGTGCAAGTTTAGTGAACTTAATCATAGCAAATTAAATTATGTAAGCACAATGGACTGTGAAAAGTTTAAATCCCAATAATATACAGTTTAATAACATAAAATATATCCACAATAGTATTTATTCTGTCAATTTTATACACATCTTTATTTGTAGAAGCATCAAATACCAATGTTATTATAATTATTGGTTGAAGTTTTTTTAGAAGATATTGTATTTAAAATAAAAGTTTTGTCTTAATATATATTTTCATGAACAGTACTCCGGTATTTGGATTCATAATATTATTGTTAGTTCCGAAGCAATAGAGATGTTATACCCATAAATACAAAGAGTATAATACTTTTTGAAGACACCAGCCCATCTTTTCTTGTGTTTTTATATTACAATTCCCAGGCAAAAGACAAACCTTAAGACATTACACATGACTATGGCTTATAGTATGGCTGAAATGAAATGAGGCATTGAAATTGGCTATGGTCGTACTTTGTTGTGAATTCGGTTGGACTTGATAGTCTACTTGTCAGACTGATATAAACTGTTTTGTTCACAAGATTCAAAGCCATTATGAAAACAATCAATATATAGTTTATATTATTGGCATCCTACTGTCTGCAGAATATTACATGAAGATTGTATAGGACTTATGCTCGCCCAAACAGAATATGCTATTTTAGCATTATTGCCAATGCATGAAGACATAGAGATACAGTTTGAATTTTAGCATCAGGATGGGTCCAAATACACTCTGATCGAGAAGTATGAGAATGCTAGCCATGAAGGACGTGGTGAGCGGATTCTTAAATTGGTGTTTAGGACCAACAGAAATACTATAATTTATTATTTATTGATGTCTTTGAGTGAAAAGATAAGGTACAAGGTCTGAAAGTTCCAACATATGTTATTATAATTTTAAAAAGCAGAGACATATTGTCTTTATTAGAAACATCGTGGCTTATATTATTGTTAGATGTTCATGGCATCTAATACATCCTGTAGATTTCGAAGATATATAATCATAAATGATGGATGTTGAATGCCTAAATCTTGTTTCAAACTTTCATTTTACTTTTTTCAAAGAAATATGCTTGCGAATATTAAACTATCTCCAGAGCATGTTGATTATTATAAAAGTGTTATTTATCCACTTAAATAGATGACATGAAATGTTTGTGGTTCTATTTTAGAAAACATTTATAAAATATGAGTATATATTTGTATATGGATGGTTCAATTTGAAAAAGGCATTTGGACACTGCCAAAAAGGATAACAAGTCTTGAACGTTCCAATTAAAAGAAAATTGTCACGCAAAGATACTGTTTTAAATATATCCAACATAGAGCTATCAAAGAAGTGTATTGGTATTTAAAGGTCAGTTTATGTGAATATAAAACCCAGAATGATCAGAAATGAACTAGAA